GAGATAAACGCATGCGCGCACACACATACACGCGAGAATTTGGAAGAAATATTTTTTTTTCATTTTACTTCCTTTTATTGAATATACAATATAGATACAATTTTCAGGAAGGGAGAAGCGGCCAATCAAACGAGGTTGCCATACAACACACAAATGGGGAAAGTCAGGCGGTGGTGGTCGTGAGATTCGAACACACGTCCTCTGGGGTGATAATTTGGTGACGTTATCACGACCGGGCCACCACCACCACCACCACCGAGGTCAAATTCAAATTTCTATGTACTATGGGCAACTAACAAAGCTGATGCTTATACCGAGTTCGATTGGTTGTATAATTAAAAGGCAAATTATATAACGTTCACTAACGATTGCTGAACAGCTAAGTGTTTCAGTGCTTCATCGAGCCGTGACTCGAATAACAAATCAACGGTTGGAATACAAACAACTTGCGGGTGGAAGAGAGTGCTAGGTATTACAAACTCTTGGGTTCCAAGTCTGTACAGCCTACTCGGTCGGTGGTTTAACGTATGCTGATAATAAACTGGGCAATAGGTCTGTTTCAAATGATCCGAAAAGCACGTATTAGCAATTCAACGTGCTTTATAGCTTTTGATGACACTCTTGCGCAATGTTTGGAACATCCTAGATCCTCACGAACAATAACTCCCAGATCCATTTTGCGGTAGTGGATGAGTTCTAAGTACGTATGGTAAGAGACCCCAGTGACGCAACGATACAACCTAGCATTTATCAACGTTGAATTTGATGTCATTAGTGACAGACCATCGGTAAGCTGCGTCGAGCGTTTCCTGCAGGGTTGATATGATCGAATCTTTTTCATTGTGGTTTTGTACTCTTTTCCCAGAGACTAGAACCAACCAACCATGTCAACCAATCACATGCATTGTACGATAGGAGGATCACCGGACCGCAGCATTCGCATTCAACGTCTTTCGGATTGTGGTCTGACAACTGATTAATTGAATCTACTGATCAATTATTTCACTTATAGGAAGCAATTCACATTTCGTAACGGTAAATCGTCCTCCCTGATAGCAGTTAACTCTGGGGTATTTCAGAATGCTATTTTGTCTCCATTTTTTTTCACTGTATATTAAGGACCTTCCCATCCCTCCCAACTTTATCGCGTACAAGTATGTCGATCAAGTAGTCATCAATTGTCCCTCGACTGATCCTGACTGTTTATGTCAACTTCAAGTTTGTCTAAATAAGATTTTTAGTTGGTCGACACCCCGATCTTTCATGTTCAATGTAGATAAATGTTGTGATGTTCTTTTTAGTCCTAAAAACAGACACATATTATCAAACACTTTTGAGTAATCAGTCTGAACTTTCTGTTAACGGCAATACCATCCCCAAAGCTAGCTCTGTGAAATATTTTGGAGTTACTTTGTCACAAGAAACATTTATATTAGTGTTCGGAGGCCATCCTTCTACTCTTTTAGGCCTGAAAAGGCCGGTGTTCCCCTAAATGTAATTCTCAAATTTGTGGCTGCTTGCACTCTTCCACATTGGTTGTACTGTTCCCCGGTATATTTTCCTGGTCTAACGGAGAAAGATTTAATTCTCCTTTGCAGATCGCTTAAACTTCTTTTCAGTTGCAGTGGAATTTCAAAGACTGTTTTGGTTGACTTTATATTATTAATAGCTAGCATCTTGATTCATGTGATAGATTTATCAGCCCGTATACTGCCAACTGAAGAACACTGACTACATACCCATCTCAATAAATCGGTATCTCATCCGAGTAAGAGTTCCAAATTTAGAACTATTTGTGCACGCACCACCACATACAAAAAACAGCATCATCTCTTATTTTGCTCGTATCTCGGTCAACCGCGCAAAGATTATTACTCACTTGGAAAATCATCTGTCACATTAGTATTTTATCACATTCATTTGTTTTTCATTTAGTAAATGGGTGTATTCTTAACGTTTTCCTCACTGTAACTTGTCGAAAGTGCTGAAAATCGATCCCATCGGGTGCATACAGCTTTACACTGGACTTCACTGGAGGGTGATATCGGGACCAATATCCCCGGGAATCGGAGAACACACATAGTATCGTGCTGTTGCTCATTCACTCTGATGTGCACGCGTAAACCACTGTTCACGCCTATTTCAAGTTCAAATTTGCTCTTCCTATGCAGCAAGACGCAATTCAGCATATATGCAGTCCGATAATTTTTTTATCGGCTACACTGTTGCATGTGAAAATCTCACACATCACGAACATTGCGCATAACAAATCTACGAACACACATCTGAATAGCTTCAAGATTCTGTCGGATTGGAGGATGGAGACAGAATGCGATCAGTTTAAAGTGATTTCATTTAGATTGTTCTGCTGTTTGTTGTCCCGGGCATCATCTGAGACAACAATGTTCGTGTGTGTGTGTGTGTGTGGCACAGGCCATCAGCCTGTTGTCTCGTAGTTCATTATCATCATCCTTATCGTACAGCGAAATACAATGAGGCGAACTTCACTGATCGCTGCCAAACTCGCAATGCATACAACGTTAGTGGTCAAATTTAAGGTGGACAGGGATTGGACCCATTTTGAGGGAGGGGGAAGAAGTTGATCCTCAATGGTCACCACACAGAGAATGCACAATCGAACTCTTCATGTATACCGTTTTTTATGCATTCCGGCCGGATGAGAAACGACAACAAGAACGTCACTGCTGTCGGTTCGCTGCCATATCCTTCCAGTATCTCCAACGAACCACTTCCGGACCCTAATCTAGAATGGCGCATGACACCTACTCTACCCAATGGCCTCGCGCATTTCTCCATGCTTCGACTCCACGTCATCTATCGACCTCCGTCATCGGTGATCTATATTTTCACATTTTCCAAGGGCACCCACCCCTTTGCTGATTGGTTATAATATTGTTTGAAATCATTGGACACAAATAGATAATTATACCATCCTAACTATTATTAAAGGTTGAAAGCATCCCAAAAATTATCGGCATCTTCCAGTGAAACGCCTGCTGGTGGTGGNCGTCATAGTAGCAGCGATCCGGAGACTCTGACTTCTGTCCTACCATCAGTTTACATGAGCCCCAAACTCTACAGTTTGTCTTTAGTTGGCTGCAACTCTCTCGCTCTCCACACGTATATTATGATATCATGATGGTACATCGAGTGAAAAGAATTTGAAACATTATTATTATTATTATTATTATTATTATTATTTCATGAGAGAAATGGTCGATTTAGTTTTTTCATATTGTGGATTTCGTCGTGCAATGAGCGGTTGAAACGTGAACTGAAAAGTTAGGGAGCATAGATGGACCGCTACTTCGGCCTGGTTGCCGGTGTCATCCTATCCGCAGTGCGAATCCATCGACCCCCGACTGGTGAACGTGAACCCGGGACCTAATCACAAGCCGAACACCAGGATACTACTCACTCAGTGGCCACCCCGCGGTAGCTGATCAGACAATTTTTCATTTTGAATTGACACGANTCCGCGCACTAGCCTCCGAGATTATGACTTGGTTGGAAATATTCCAACCCAAGTGTGTAGTATGCTTGCATTCTGTTTGTGATGAGGTCCTGGGTTCGATGGATTCGCACGACTGACGAGGACCAGTCAGGTCGAAACACCTTCTGGACAGTGTTTCCTAGCTTTTCAGGTCATGCGTCATTTATTCTGTACACACTGAAATTCATCAGATAAATCAACATTATTGTCATAACTATTAATAATATAATAATACGAACTAAATCCGTGAACAGTACAAAAAAGACTTGGATTGACTAAAATCACTACTCACAAATGCTCGCGTGGCCGTTCTGCAACGATGGTCGTTCCGAGGCGAGCCTCTGTCTGGAATGCCAAAACGTGCTTGTCTGCCCGGTTCGACCGGAGTTGAGAAGAAGCGACGAGGCGGGCAAACTGGTTGTTTTCTCATTCGCGGACAGNNNNGGTTGACCTAATCAAATAAAAACGGTAAAAAATACACAATTAAAAGAAAAGTAAAGTCACAAATCTCTGAACGAAGATCACAGTGATCGGTCTGGGCACATACACATGCGGATCAGCCACTCAAGTCNGGGATCCCACAGCCGAGCACCGAGTATCTTGTCATTTGGGATGAGAAATTAACACACACACACCGATATCAGACTCATATCAGCATAGAGCGCGCACGAGACTCGGGGTAGTTATGCATCACAATAAACCAAAAGTGTGTACGCTCACAGAGGAACCGTTTCACCACGAAAAAATGTGTTTGAAAAGGGATGACGTGGGCGGACACCACGCGGGGAAAAGGGACGGGGACGTATGTGGCATGCGAGATTCAAACATGCTATGGCCAGCTAGAACTGGTCTTGGTAATCATGCTGAGATGTGATACAATCATTGATGCTAGAACGCAAAGTCACCGGATAATAGGATAGCATGCAGGATCACCATGCTCCAAAGGACAAATAACGGAAACATAAAAATGATCTATTCATTCATCCACACACACACACACACACCCACACACACACACACACACACACACACACATACATTTCATCGTAATTTACAAATCGCTCATAATAAACGACCTAAAGAAAGGCATAACAAGCATTCATTGTTGATCCGAGACCAAAGACGAATCCAGTTAGCCTAACCTGTGATTCAGCCATTCAATCAAACAGACTTTTTTTTTAGAAAATCGTGTCAGTGTTTATTTGAACCATCAATCGAACAATCAACCTTGCCCTAGATGTTCATTCGGTGGACTCCGGTGAGTTCTAAGGAAAACCTGTCGGGGCAGTCGGCTCACATGTGTCACCTGATGGATGCTATATATCTCTGTGAGTTGGATGGGTGTTTCGAATGTGAACAGATCGGTTTGCTCTGTGGGTGTGTGAACTCGCTGTAGCTCAGCTGACAGAGCGTGCGCTGTACAAAAGCGTAGGCTGCGTCCATGTGTGGGTTCGAATCCTACGAAGGCTACTGCACTCTTCATTATCTCGATATAAAACTTTAATCTGCCCAACAACAATGTAAACAATTAGGCCTGCCTTAGAATTTCATCATTGTTTATTTGTTTGATCTAAAGCACTAACAGTGAGTCGGTTTTCACCGTTTAAGGAAAACCGGGGACAAGAAGATGACCTTGTTGGGAGTTAGTTCGTACGGACTAATCTGTGGCGAGTGGTGCAAACTGACAACCGGTCAATCGATCAATCATTGTTGCCTCGAAGTGAATTAGAAAGCATGTTGGACAAGTGAGACGAGGTGAGCCAAGTAAACTCGTATCGTGAGCGCGCGACAAGTTACGTACCAAACAGTTGTTCCACATCTGTATGTTACTGATAATCTGAAAAACATGAGGGTGTCACCAGCTGGAAACAATCGACAACCGAACCGGATGCGAAGTGAAGTTAAATCAAGCGAAATGAACCTGACGTAACACGTGAGAACCGTCCCCAAGGAATTACCGGTGGGCTGAGCAAGAACCGTTTCCGCACATGCAGTACACGACGAGGACACGAGGTGCAGATATAGATGACCGGGCAAGGAAAACCGTGAACTGTAATCTATGGTTTGGTGAATCCACTGTTCAGTAATTGCAACTCTCTCTCTCACACACACAAAACCAAATATCACAACACAGCTCACAAATCATACGAGGGTCGATACAGACGCGGACTGTCGTGAGGATAGGACTCAGTCGATGTCACACTGGATGTGGGCGATGATGTTCTACGACTACAAATGTGGTTTAAAGCCGCAGCAGCTGGAGCACCAGTAGAGTTTTGATCGTTTGCAGTGAGGCCTTTGGTGATCAAGCACCTTCAAGAAGCACTGTGTTCCCAAATGTCTCGTGCATGATGCGTGGAATCCGATGCGACTCGCGAACAGCCGCAGTGGAGGCCTTCATTGGTTGTTTACTCGCTTGGGCATGGTCGAGTTATCTCACCAAATGGTTTGGGCTCATACAACTGTGTGCGCATGAACGTTGATGGGGAATAGTTCGATAAAATGTAATGCTTATTTTCGTATGAAAAATAAAAATTATTGTGCCCTAGTACAGTAAAGTATAGTACTAAAGCACTAGGGTCAACACGTGTCAATTTCTTTTTTTTCTAATTGCACAAATTATTGCGGAATG